ACCTCTGTCTTTACTTAACTACATGAAATGATAAAGCTCATCAAAAAATGTATGTTTAACTGGATAATCTGTCCCTAACTTTGCCAGAACTTGTGGCTCTGCCCATTTAGTAACATAAATATAATCATAGCAGCCCTCGATAAAAATCAGTCTAAAACGTTTGGTTAAAAATTTTTGTTTTTGTTTTTTCTTCTTTAATCATCCATAGAGTTGACCAAGTGCAGGTAAAGTTGTAGCGCATCCACAGTCTGGATGCGACAGCTTGCAAAGACCAACAGTTCGATGGACCATTAACAAGTTCTTTACAGCAGATCTCAGACAGCAGAAAAGTGAGGCTGAATCAAGTCACACATGGACAGAGGAAGCCTTGCAAGGCTCTAAAGGTCAGGAACAGAATTTTTAAAGTATAAGCAGTGTTCAATGGGAAGCCAATGTAGAGATTTTAGGACAGGAGTTATGTGAGTTCTGGTTATACGTGTCAATATCCTTGCTGCAGAATTTTGCACTAGCTGCAGTCGAGCTAGGCCTTTTTTGTTCAGACAAGGGAACATTGCAGTAGTCCAAACATGATGATACAAATAAATGGAGAAGCATCTCAAGGTAATTTTCAGAAACTAAATTTCCTAGCAAAACTGCATGATCTACACACGTAAACATGGTTTAAGAGGAAACACGGTCCTGAATATCCAAAAATTATTATCCTGGTTTATGGCCCAACACTAGTAACTGCTAAGATACTGAGAATAACCCTTAATAGCTTAATATGAAGAAGCCAACCCACGTTTCCCAGGAGTATGAGGGGTATATGAGAGAGCAGTTTTTTTTGTTTTAACTATATATCATTAATATACCACTGAATATACTGTTCTTGTTAAAAAATGTTATTCAAAGCTATTTAAAGTTAAGGCTGCAGCTTAATGTTTAGCACAACAGTGAGTATTAAACTTGTTTAAAAGGAAAAAAAAATCAGGATCAGCAAAAATTAAGAAATAGCCAAATTTTCTCATTCAGTGACTGATTAAGATGCTTTAGATTTTAAACTCTTTGATATACATTTTTCTAAAACTTATATTTTAAATTTTCCAATTCTTCTTTTAAGTTAAAAGCCAAAGAAATTTCAAAGTTGTTTCAAGGTGAAACAAACAATATGCCCCTTCATGCAATGACTACACCTTTTATAATAAAATTTTGCTCTTTACATTGTAGAGGACACACTGACTGAAGCTGAGAGTGTTAGGTGCTGAGGGAAGCAAGATTCATTGTCAAGCTGAAAGAGTTCAGGAATTTCAATGTTTTGGATTGAGGCCAGATGACGTGACCGAAATAAAGGGCATTGTGTAGTATTTTTTAGGAAATTTGAGAGACATTTGTTTAACCTGACAGAAGGATTTAATGTTAATTATAGAATGTTAAAAATAGAAATATTTATTTAAAAAAAAGACAGAGGGCTGCATTTATCCAAGAAGAAGCAAAACCCAAAAGTGTTTAACTTTTTCATAAAGAAAAACAATAAAAACAAAAACAAATGTTATTACAGCATTAACTTTATATGAAAGCTGGTCATAAATCCTCAAAATCATGACTAATGTTATTAAGAAGTTTTAGTTTTTAATATTAAAGTCTTTATTATGTTAACAAAACACATAAGCCACAACACCATAATTTTACCACTGGGTGGTGCAATATAACAGAGAATGACAAAGGAAGGTGCAGTCTACTTTCAGACTATAAAAGGCAGAAATTCACCAAATACCATCAATTGAAATCCATGTAATCTACTTGAAGGTGTAAAATTTGAAATGTTGAAAATAACTAAAGCACCTTTGAACTGTTCAACATCTACTCGAACGTAACAGAACACTGTTGGATTTAGTCAAAAAATGTGAATACGGTATTAAACCACAAACAAGCATCAGAAGTTTATCTTTATTTTTGATTATTTATGAATATCAATTGAGATTGTGAATGTTTTTTAGCATTGGTTTTGTTTAGCCTTCTATGCATTTTATGTTTTTTAGATGAACTGGTATAATGTGATCACTGAACTGTAGTATTTGCTTGTCTTATTGATCATTAAGATTCACTGCAAAATTTACAAAAGGGTCATTTTTTACCTTTTTAAGTCATTATACAATAAGATCCAGGGCAGAAATTGCCTAAGAGTGTTTTGTCTCTTTCTTCTTTACAGTAAAATAGTTATCACCAACTCTTTACAGTTAAGATTCATCCAAATATTTCAGAAACAGAAGCACAATATCATTTCTAAAACCTACTTGTAAGTCATATTTAAATTACATTCTTATGTAATTTAATTTATTTTTTTTTCTAAGCATGACTTGCCATTTGTGTGTATACTCTTAAAATTATGACTTGTTAAAAATGGATAAAACTCTTTTAGATAGAAAGTGCCAGTTTACAATGCATTCAATGTAAAAAAGAAAGTTTATTAAATCCTTAATTTCTTTGATGGCCCAGAAGGAACTATACAAGCTGGGTGGTTTGTAGGCAAGGTTGGGAGCTTTGGCAGCTAATTCTTTTTCTAGATTGATAATCTGGATTTAGGGACCGGAAATATCACTTCATCGGCAGGTAAGGAGCCAGAGGTGTTGTGTGAGGTTTAATGGAAACTGCTAAGAAAGGTTTATACTCATTTAAAAACTTTGAGACGGGAGAGAGAGATGCTTCAGATATCGATGGGGATAGTCATAAATCCCTGACTATATTCCCCACATTCAAAGTTTTCTCCATAAACAAGGGAGGGTTTTCTTTTATGCATTTTCAAGTTACAAGAGAAAAGGTTCTGAATTTTGTGGTACAGTAGGAGGGATCTTCTCTCTCTGATCTCTGACCTTCTGGCCCAGACTCCTGAGCACCTACTCGACATCGGCTTTGCTTCGCCCTCTGAATTGTCCTGCCTTCCTTTGCTGTTCGGATCTGATCTCCTGCCCATTCTCCGGTCTCTGGGCTTTAACGTCTGGGACTCTGGGCAGCGTGTTGTCAGCTGGCCAGCTGGAACCAACCTCATCCTCTGGGCACGCACTGAACTTTAAGACCAGGTTAGTGACTCACATGGTCATAATCTTCCTCTGCAAGATTGACGTGGTCACTAACCTGTGTTTCCTTCTTGTAGAGGTTCCTGCCGTTGACACCCTCGCTGTTTACTGCAGATCCATTTTTCTTAATAGACTTTTTGTGAGATATCAAACTGTCTGATTTGAAAACTGAGTCTTCTGCTCTGGGGCAAGACACTTTGCATATTGAAATTTTATTACTAGCTGCCCTAATCCTGACAAAGCTTAACTCAGCCGTTGCATATACGTAAAGGAAAACAAGGTGACAAACATTTTCTTTAAAGCAAAACACAAATCCATTTATGGGGTCATATTGGCAAAGAGAAAGACATTGAATACAAAAATAGCAGAGTCTTCTTTGTTTTTACAAAGGCCTTACATAAAAGACCTTAGATTTTCCTACTTTATTTCTACTGCATGTGGCTACATGTAGTAGTAACCACTAAAGGTGAAACCTAATGTGTTTAGTTGAAGAAACATCCAATTTTCTCTCAGTTTCAGCAAGTGATATACAGTCCCACTTGGTATTATCTCTTTAATCACAGCTATCCACAATTAACAGCGCAACCAACCCCTCTAAATATTACAAATATATTACTATTGCTATCAAAATCCATACAAAATTCAACAGCATATTCTTTAGACAATTTAATATGCTATCAAGACCTGCCAGGGTAAAGCTCAGTGAGGTCAGTTTAACCTAATATGACTTAAAATTGATTAGCAATATAACATTTAAGGCCTAAGCATTTATTTTTTCTTAGCTGCAAATGGAATAATAACATATGCACCTGGATAAATTCAATTAACAAAGGAGATCAGTAAAAATAATCATTTGTGGAACTTTACAACAAAAACAGAGACTGATCAAACCTGTGTCTGAATTAGCTTGCTTTTATGAAACAGAGGTGTGCTAACTTTTAATTCATCTCTCATATAAAATTGTTCAATGAGTACAAATGTTTGATTGCATAAAAAATTGACAGAAAATATCAAACGTCAAAATCTTGACTAGCTGTTATCTGCTTTTAGAACTCTTTACATGTCAGCCACTGAGCTTCAGCATCAAGCATCCATGTGAGCCTTCCAGATGTGATGGTAAGTGTTTGGACAAAAAGAGGGAGGGGGAAGACATGCAATTTTAATAACCAGTGCATGTTGTTCTTCCTTTTTCTTTCCCTGACACGAAAACATGAACAAATCAGGTTGTTAGTTTTTTACATGCCAACGTAACCTTGGATATCAAACATATGACCAATCATTTTGTTCTGTATTATTTCACCCAACATGTGATATATTCTATTTTCTACCTTTTTGAAATCTCCCATCTGTTTCCAAGAATGAGGTGCTACAGTCAGTCAGGAAACATGTGAGTTCATTTGGAGGCATTCTGTGTCTCTAGTACCCTTTTCTATTGTATCTCACTTATGCAATGTGCAGCAACAGCTCATGTACGAGAAGTGTCTTGCTCAGAGGAAAGATGCAGAGCTGCGTGAGTAGAAGGATGCTTGACAGACAGAAAGGAGAGAGCTCTGCAGCAGGATCCCCTCAGTGCTGCTGAACATAAAACTGCGTGACTGGTCTCTGCAAACAGAAGGGAGGAGAGAAGGGAGAAAGGCAGGGAAGAAAGCAGGGGGAGGGGAGGCAGCTCAGTTCAGTGCGGTGCTGTAGCTGAGTGGATGAGGCAGCAGCATCAGCACCACTAGCTGTAGCATCCTCTCCCTTTGTGGAGGTGTGGGGAGGGGGGGCTGTCTTTTAGCTGCTGCAGGATCAACATTCTCTGCATACACAGAACTATCTGCTCACCTCGTCACACACTCACACACACATGTCGTGGTGGCAAGACAGGAGGAGGAGGTAGTGGTAACTGACGGGGGAAGCTCAGGGGACAGAGGGACGCAGGGAGAGGAAACAGGGACTGGTGGGAACACGAACCTGAGGAGGGCTGGAGCGACGGCAACTTCAGCAGCAGCAGCAGCAGTAGCAGCGGCACCATGGCACAAGCTGCCAAGCAGCTCCGCAAGACCAAGGACCTCGCAGAGGCCGCCGCCCAGGAGCAGAGGGAGAAGGAGGAGAAGAAGATCAAAAAGAGGAATCGATCAAGAGACCGCAGGCGCAAGGTATGGATATTCTGTCTCAGGAGGCATCCTCATATCCATCTCTCCCATCATACCTGCCGTTTTCCCCCCTCACAGGGACTGTCACACTTCAAACATTGGGTATGATTGGTTGGAACGCATTTACACACGTATAATTACACAGTTGGATTTGTAGCCTCAGTTGGCATATGTGTGTCTATGCGTGTTTGTGTGTGTGGATGTGTGTGTATAGAACCAGAAGCATTGATGCTGGGTGCAGGTTTTGTCTGCTCTGTCAGATATTTGGCCATCGGGGGGAAAGGCTCTTAATACAACTGGGTATGTGACTAATATGTGCTGCTGGTTAAATAACTCACTACACCATTTGTTTCTTTTACCTGAAAACCCTTGCAGTAGGTGCAGCTCATTCATGTTAACGAGATCTACTATTGTGCATGCATGTACAAATAACGTTTTCTTGCATGTAACCCGAAACAAGCTCTACTTGTTTTAAAAAAGATTTGCCTTTGTTAGATTTACTGTCTTCCCCCATATTGTATGGGTTTTTTTCTCACTGGTAGAAAATGGAGGGGGAAGATGGAGGTACAGTCTAATAATAGATGCAGTTTTAGTGCATTCGTGCATCTTTTAGGACTGCAGAAATTATTTTGGGGGAAAATATAACAAATGCTGATAATTTAACATCATGATTCACTGGCAAAAACTACATGTATAGATTATATCACAAAAGTGTAAAATCTCATTCACCCTCAGATGCACTCTTCTACTGTGCCATTAACTACAGCTTTGATTAGGGTTTTGCCACCTCTCACTCACGGTTGGGTGTTTTTTAATTATATTTCTGATAAAAGTTTACTGTTTCTTTAAAAAATATATATATATTATTGTGGATGCAATTTTGTTCTGTTCTAGGTGGAGGATGTTTAAGTAAACCTGACAAAAACTAGCATGTGTAGTTAAAAAGAAAAAAAAAACAGGTTAGGATTATACAATATAATGGAAGTTTTCATTCATTCCCTATTATAGTCTCAATTTAAAGTGTACAAAAATATCTCTCTTTCTTTTAAGTTCTACACAAAATAAACCATAATAAATAAATTATTTTGTAAGAAAGTATCAAATATCATCATATACAATAGATCTATAATATATTATATTTATAATAGTAATTATTAAATATAATAAAATTAATGACATGATTTCAAGCACAACTGTAGGTTTAATTTTTGTCACAAAGTTCAAACCTACCGGTGGTCGACATTTATTCAACTGATCATTCTTGAGACATTTTCATAGTTTAAATTAAGATTAATGTTCGGTAGCTTTATTGGATTGGACATATTCAGAAAAAGGACACATCTATATAAGGTTTCAATGTAGATATTCATGTCTTAGGCTACAACTCTTGGATAGAATACAACAAAAATGCTCAATTTCTTTCCTGAAAAAAAGCAGGAGCAACTGAACCTAACAGCAGAAACATGGCTCAAATGTTATGGATTAGCAGAATTAGTAGCATTATAACAGTGGGCATACTTACCTTACTTAGTGGGGGGATTGATTGTTTAATATTTAGTGGATCACTAGCCTTCCAGGCCCTTCATGTTGGAAATATTCTTCCTACTCCTCCTTCTTGCCCAGAATAGCTGGGAATCCTTACATTTTGATAAATAGGGGTAGTTGCCTCATTTATGCTCACATAATCCTCTTTCTGCAGCCAAGTTTCTGTAAGACGATACAAATCAATTTGATCATCACAAATCAAGTCATTAACTAAGAAATTGCTTTAAGAAAGAGATCTTAGGTTAAATTAAACACATGTAATCGTTTTTACTTTTTCCCCAATTGCAGTTATTTTAATTTGAATTAGATTGTCATGATGTACTATTTTTGGATTATTTTCTAATTGATTTGATTTTTTCATGAACATGAATATTTTACCATATGAGTCAGAAGGCTTTGGTGAAAAAGAATGGTAACCTTCATGTTTCTACATGAAAGCTTATGTTTCTAAAATGTTTGTTGCCATGGTGACAATGTAAGCCAGTGGGTCATTTTCATTAACTTCATTTTGAGAATTGACTGGTTCAGTACACCTAAACAAAGCTTCGTACAGGCAATATTGACAAAATTCCTTCAATATGATAGCTAGGAAGGTCTGAAGATGAACGTCCACAGGTATCAAATGGTTTGGGAGAGGAAGCTGTTTGAAAACATGTGTCCTTTGAGATTTCCAATTTTAGATTTTATGGTATTTCTGTATTGAAATTTATTGAGGGCATGTTAAAAAAGTAAAAGCGCTATCTAAATAATTCTTTATCAGGGAGCATCAGCAAGGTTCAGTCAACAATTAGTGTTAATTTTACATTTCTACAAAATTCTATCTAGGCGTGCAGATGTAAACAGTGAGTCATTTTCAGAAACTTGACTTTAAGGGATTGATGGATTTAGTGCCCATTAACAAACCTTTCTGCCGGTAAAACCATAAAAGACACTGACTGATATCCTTTAATGAAGTGCTAGGAAGGTCTAGAAATTTCCACAAGGCTAATTCTTGCCCATAGAATGGTGTTTCGATAGGGAGATAGTTGAAAAAATGTAATTTTGGGGATTTCAAGTCTCTGGGAGACTCTCCAATCATTGGAAACACTGAAGTATTCAATGGCTCTACTGGAAAGAATGTAGGGCCATTCAGGTAGTATAGACTCTACTTCTTATTTACTTACTTCCTGCATAAAACTGATCACTTGCTCAGGATGCTAAAATTCTTTTCAGACTAAGCAGAGGAAATCAATGCAGATATGCCAGCCATACCTTTCACTCCTCTCTTTTCTGCAGCCTTATATTTAAATTATACAGTTATATTTATAACTGTATAATAGTTGTTCCTGCAATTTGTCATGTACAGTAGCATTAGTACTAAAATATACCTTCAAAATAGCCTTTTTATTTGACCCTTTACGACTGACGTGAGCATTTGATGAGCAGATTGACATCTCAGTAGTTCAGTATCAAATCATCTATAAGCCTGTAGCTTATTTTTCCAAAATGTACTTCAGGTTGGGAGGTTCCTGCGCTGTTTCTGTGGATGTGACGTCAAGCTCATTCATGTTAAATTGGTCTAAGCTAGCAAACAATCAAAGCATTATTCAGGGTGGATTTTGTGAATTCTCATAAGAAACAGGCATCCAGGTCATCTCAAATACCAATGGTAAATGCAATTAAGATAAAAAAAAGTTAACAAAAAAAAAAAAGAAAAACCCTTGTCAAGTATAAGCACATGCTAAAAGAACAAGCAGACTGTTGCAACTTAGTGTTTCAACCACTGATGACAGTATCATTAGAAAATTCTGTAATGCCTCTATAATAAAGCATTTTGAAAAAATAAATGGAAAATTGTCAAAATTATTTTTCAAGATTTCTTATATAAAAAAAGAAACAACCTTAAAAGTATTATCAGCATTTAGACCCTTTTTTTTTTGCTCATTAAGAAGAAAATAAATTTTTAGAGAAACCTTCTGTCAAGAATCACTGTTTGTGTGGAGGACCCAGACGCAGAGACCAGTAGGCAGAGGTGAATTAAAGTCTGTTTATTCAGGTTCACAGGTCCAGAAGCAGGAATCAGAGCCCAACTGAAAATTACAAACGTACCAGAACCAAGGAGACATCAGGAATTAACCAAACCAGAAGCCAGGAAGAGACGAGGAACACAGAAAGAAGTTAGACGGGATCTTTGACGAGGATCCAGCAAACAGGAACTGAACAGGGAGGGCTTTTAAAGGAGACAGAGACAGAGAGAGAGCTGACGAGGAAATTGGCAGCAGGTGCTTGGCAGGACAGAGAAACAGAGGAAGGGAGGACACAAGAGGGCAGCAGAGGACAACAAATGGATAACAGGAACAATCAGACCAGGACCATGACAGTACCCCCCACCTAAGGGCGGATCCCAGACGCCCTAAAATGTCCAGAAACAACCCACCCAGGGTGGGCGAGGGCAACAAAAAGTCTCTGGAGGCCGGCCGTGGGGCCGGAGCTGAGAGAGACGCTCTGGAGGCCGGCGTCTCCAATGCAGCAGGAACCTAGGAGGAGGACGCCGCCTCCGCAGGATGCGCCGAGGAGGACGCCGCCTCCGCTTCAGCAGGATGCGCCGAGGAGGACGCCGCCTCCGCTTCAGCAGGATGCGCCGAGGAGGACGCCGCCTCCGCTTCAGCAGGATGCGCCGAGGAGGACGCCGCCTCCGCTTCCGCAGGATGCGCCGAGGAGGACGCCGCCTCCGCCTCAGCAGGATGCGCCGAGGAGGGCGCCGCCCCCGCCTCAGCAGGATGCGCCGAGGAGGACGCCGCCCCCGCCTCAGCAGGATGCGCCGAGGAGGACGCCGCCCCCGCCTCAGCAGGATGCGCCGAGGAGGACACCGCCTCCGCTTCTGTTGCTCTGCAACAGGCTCAGAGGGAGCCGTTGATTGCGGCTCAGGAACAGGATCGGACGAGGCCGCCCACTGCGGCTCAGGAACAGGATCAGACGAGGCCTCCCACTGCGGCTCAGGAACAGGATCAGACGAGGCCGCCCACTGCGGCTCAGGAACAGGATCAGACGAGGCCGCCCACTGCGGCTCAGGAACAGGATCAGACGAGGCCGCCCACTGCGGCTCAGGAACAGGATCAGACGAGGCCGCCCACTGCGGCTCAGGAACAGGATCAGACGAGGCCGCCCACTGCGGCTCAGGAACAGGATCAGACGAGCTCAGGAACAGGATCAGACGAGGCCGCCCACTGCGGCTCAGGAACAGGATCGGACGAGGCCGCCCACTGCGGCTCAGGAACAGGATCAGACGAGGCCTCCCACTGCGGCTCAGGAACAGGATCAGACGAGGCCGCCCACTGCGGCTCAGGAACAGGATCAGACGAGGCCGCCCACTGCGGCTCAGGAACAGGATCAGACGAGGCCGCCCACTGCGGCTCAGGAACAGGATCAGACGAGGCCGCCCACTGCGGCTCAGGAACAGGATCAGACGAGGCCGCCCA